AGCATTCGTTATTTAAAAAATCGGTGAAAATGTTTTTAGTAGAAAAATGGTACTTTGGACCTTCTTAAGCTAGAGCAGTTGCTTTTATATATTTTAATTTGTTACTTCCCTTCTTCACCTAGATTAGATCAAACCAATTTCTATACCTAGCTCATATATCGAATGGAAAGGAATAAATTCATAAATCCTACACGTGATACTTGCAGCTCATGACACCAAATGCAAACTCTTGACTTGAATACAAAATTCTATCACACAAAACATTCCAAATAATCGAACCCTACTAACAACTAACCGTAAGGAACATGTAAGTAAATTTTAAATTGTTTCAAGGGAGTACCGCAAGGCTACGCACTAGGACCCTTGGTTTTAATTTTATTTATAAATTACTATAATCGAATGCCGGTGCTGCAATTTCGTACTGTTGAGTGTACGGGGAGGCAGGATTGAATAAAATGCGAATTCGAATATTTTAACTGAAGAATCTATTTCTAGACTATATAGAGCAAAATCGTTACCAAATGGCCATCCATTTGGGAGAAATTGATTGATAATTCGACCGAAATTGATAAATAAATTAAATCTTCCAGTTTTCATGACAGATACCAACAACCATTTTTTTAAGCCAAAGATTATAGAAACAATCCGCGTCACTTGTTTACTCGAATACTTAAATAAAAAGTTATCGGCAATTTACAAAATTTTTACTACTAAATGTATATTTTGTCCTATCTAGTTCAAAAATAGGGTTTTCGTGTTAAAATCGATGCAATGGTTGGCTGCTACGCGTACCTCACACAAGTTAGCTAGATAACATTTCTCTCAGTGTATGAAGTGACAGAGAGGGCTAACGTGGCCGCAATAATTGCTATCCCGGCTTCTTTTAAACTGGTTACTGATTGGCTGATGAAAAAGTTACCCCCCGGGGGACAAGCTTGCGGGTTTCTGAGTTGCGGTTGATTCCGCAAGTTGGATTTATTTTATTTTGACGTTTGGCGCGGGTGGGAGAGGTACACTCTGTAATCGATCACAACGGTCAACATTGACCTTTCCGAGAAAGATATATTCAAATAGCAAAACAAGTCAACATATCTTTTTATGTGTGTTGAAACTTTTCCACTTTTGTCAATTGACTAGTCAATCGAACAGTCAATTGACCGACATTATATTAAAAATGCAATGAAATTTATATATATTTATATTGTGCATTGTGCATTTTTATTGGAATTTCCCAAATTGCTAAGAATCGTATTCGTAATGTTTGTTAATGTTGTAAATTGTTATTTGAAACATTTTGATCGAATTTGACTAGACAATTAACAAGTGGTCAATTGACCCATCAATTAAGCAGTGCTCAATTGACCGTCAAGCCAATACAAATGGGCATTCGTAAGAACAGCTTTGCTCAAACTTCAGCAAACAATGTGAACTTATTTTACAGACTTGAAAAATTCCACCACTTCAAACATCATACAAAAAAATTATAATCATTATTAAGAATGAAATGATAAGAAGTTAAAGCAGTCCTGGAACACTGGTTGGAGCGGACATCGCAAAAAAAATTAGGCTTATGTTCTTATCAACCAAATTTTAAAATTAGTTATACGCTCTGCCGAACAGTCGCCTCGTTCTTATTACTTCAAATGGCAGCAACTACAAGGATCGTTCGACCAAATGCCAGTCGCGAACCTAACCTCGATGTTCTTCCCCCCTCTCGAAACCTAACGAATAATCACGGTACTTTATTTGACAACCGCGAGATGAATAATGAACCCCACCCCGCGTTTAGGTGACGGGCCGCTCTGTATTCCGGGCAATTTATCCGGGATCCGGGACCCCCGGCAGGACCGTAAAACCATAAAACTGGATTTATAACTTTATGGCGGCGTAGGCGCGAATAACCCCCCTCACCCGCCCCATCGCCCGCTGTTAAAAACTTCCTAGTCCGATATAGGCTAATTGGTAGAATTCTGGCAAGAATTTCTATAATTATTTTGTTTATACAGCCTCCCAAAAGAGTGTTACGATAGAAAAACGCTAAAACGCTACCCATAAGAGAGAAGAAGGAAAGTATTTAGCGACATCAAAATTGGACGAACTGATCAGTATATTCCTCATCCGTTCTTTGTCAGTAGCTCCAAAAAAAACGCATTCCCACCAAACACCATACATTAAATAGCCTTCGACAACCTTCAAAAAAGGTCGTCACTAAGTAACAAAAACTGCGTTGCTTTCTACATTGTTATTTTCGAAAAATCGATGAAATCGATTCCTTCGAAAGTATACGCGCTCCTCAATAAACTCGAAATCTCAATAACGGGGCGTCATACAACGTAGCCATTGGTATAAATGGAATCAGCGTAAAAAAAAACGTTTTTTTTTTGTCTGTCCGTTCTCCGTTTCTCCATTCTCTGTTCCAGGGTTGTTCGACGACAACTTTAGAACGGTTTGAGCTACACGATTCAAATTTTGCTCGTTTTTAACAGCCCGTGGGATGCATAATATATGTAAAAATGGCTGTGGTAAAGCTGCGACGTCAACCTTTTTTTTTTTCGATTTTCGACTGTTTTTTGGATATTCCTATAAACACAATAAGTGTTCGAAATATGAGTTCATATTTTGCAAACAAATAGAGTTTGGTCCCCTGACGAAACTTATTGAAATTGGGGGAAGTGTTTAAAAAAATAAAAAAGCGCGTTTGATAGATTCTAAGAAAAAATTCTTCAACGAAAAGACGCACAAGATTTAGCTGCGTAAACTTTTATAGTTGATAATTGTTAATAAATGGGTCCCCTTATAATTTAAAATTGGATATGACTAAAATACTGCCTCAGATGTTAGTATCTTTTGCATGACGATGTAAATTTTTGAAAGTTTTTTTTGATTATTTTCGCTTTCATGAAAACATGTTTTTCTCCATAACCAAAGTTCTTTAACCAACGGACGCGGAAGATCCGGCGCAATAACATTTATTCCAGGCATTGTTTCGATTATGTACAGGGTTTTTAAATTATGGCCAAAAATCTAATCTAGAAAATTATCCTTTTCCAGAGTAAATTATTAACCGCAGTAGGCATCAAGAGCTACAAGTTTTGTATTTATCACACACACCGCTCGAGATATTTGAAAAAAATCCATATGAAAATCACTATTCCGGGGACGCAGTCAAGGCGCGATATGACGTCATTGATTATTAACTTATTTTCTCGAAAACTATTTTCTACTTTGGAAACGTGGAAGATCCAGGGTTATAACCTCCATTTCCGGCTGATTTTAATTATGTACAGGCTGTGTCCGTAAATGGAAAACTATAAAACATGGGACAATTTGGTTTCAACAATGTCGAGAGAGTTTCAGGTTTTATCATTATTATCATACAGGGAGCACGAGGTGCTTGGAGTAATATTACTGGAAATCGTTATTCCTTGTACACCGTGTGCCAAGTAAAACGATTGACTGTAGAATCTGGAAACCCATAGGAGATACGAAAAAAAGTTTCGTAGAAAAAAATGTGTCTATCCGACATCAACTTTGTTATTTTAAATAGAACACCTTACGTATTTCTACATTTTTGGAATTCTTGGTCAAAATAAAGGTCCCTTTCTTAAGCAATTCTTATTCGAGTTTTGCATAGTTTAGGCAGAAATTGGGGTTATGTGTTATTTTTCATATTTTGATTACCCCATATAAAATTGTGTTGTGACGCTACTGATTTAACCACAGACTAAGTAGATGATGTACTGCTCAATAAGACAGATGCGTCTCAGCTTATACAGGTTGTCCCAAATAGTTGGTGTCGTGGAACACACTATATTTTTATTCAGATATCAATTCTGTTATAAAAAATTAAGGTAAGTTTGTAATTTATCTTATATTTAAATTTTACTTATTTTTTGAGATATTCGTGGTTTAAACAATGTCGTGGTTAAAAAATTAGACAAGCGGTTAGAAATGCGGTCTCCAGTATTATGACTGTCTATATGATGTCTATTGCAGAAGATGGACAATGTATTGAAAATATATTACAGTATCACCATACTTAAGTTTTTTTAGTTATATGTTTTTTTTTTTTATAGATTTGTTTATTCAAATTTGTTACCTTGTTTAGTTTTATTTTTGTTATAAGATATTTTCAATCAAGCTAGATAATTGACTATTAAATTTTTGTTTAAATATTAATTCTGAAGTTTTATTAGATTTGTTAAGGTATAGAGTCGATTTTTTTCAAAATTCCCATGTAATAATGGACACCCTGTATTATTAGCAATAAGTTTTATTCGCATATGTGGGGAGTATCATATCTTTGCTATTTAAAAAATATCTAATATTGGCAACAAGTGACTCAATGTGGGTAGTTTTAAATTCAACAAGATTTTGTACGGGTGTTATCTTAAACCTCTAATATCTCAAAAAGTTATTAAAATTTAAATATAAGATAAATTTCAAACTTACTTTATGTTTTGTCCTAGAATTGATATCTGAATAAAAATACAGGGGTTCCCTCTGAAACTTTTGTTGTTTGTTTGTTAATCACCTATTTGGGACACTCTGTATAAGCTGAGGCGTATGTATCTGTCAAACTGATTAAATAGCGCATCAGCTCCTTAATCTGTGATTAAATTTTCGTTGCAATACCTGGATAAGTAGCGTCACAGCACAATTTTATATGGGGCAATCAAAATATGAAAAAAAACACATAACCTCAATTTCTGCCTGAACTATGAATTTCCTAAGAAAGTGACTTCTACTTTAACCAAGGATTCTAAAGATGTTAGGTGTTCCGTTTATAATAACAGACTTGATGTCGGGGAGAGACAATGGATAGTTTCATTTGGCACACAGGGTACAATGCGTTCCTCTAGGACAAGAAACCGAGAAGCGGCTTCTTTTTGAAATAGAAAGCTGCTTCGCGCCACGCGCTACGAACCTGCCCGCCCGGCGAGGATTTTTCTAAAGCAACCTTAATTATTTTGCAGTACTCTTTATTGCTACATTAATGCTTATAGAGCGACTGCTCTCAAAATACCCGCCACCTCCAGCGGCGGCGCGACGCTTACGGCTTCCCTAAACGAAGAAACTTCACAACAGTAAAGGTACCCTTTTTCGGGCTTGGCCCAGTTGGGGTTGGCCCATCCAGCAGCGGCGCATATATCGGGACACAACAGTTGTTCGGCTTTCGGGACATCCTTCAGGAAAGGGTCATTGATTACCACGAAAGCTATCCCCGAATTATCCCTGTGACTACGCACGACCTTCCAGAAGTGTTTGGGGACCGGTAGCACCCCGTTCCCCCCTAGATAAATGGGTTGTGGGTTGTTGTTGATATCGGGATAAGTCAGAAGACCGTGAGTGCCGGTGAAGACGTCCACGGTGCCGTAACTCCTGGAGTTTTTCCGCACCGCCATCTCCAGGCTTTTCCAATTGGCGTTGTTCACGCTCTGCCACTTCGGTGCGGCGTTTAGATAAAAGTAGGTGGAATATTGACTGGTGGCGAGTAAGAAATCGGCGTGAGGTGCTAAGTGTCCCTTCACCAAAAACGAATTCTGTCTGATGTAAATATCCGCGAGATCGGTGGAGTTGAGGGTGATGGTGAATGCTTCCTTCTGAGAGCTAATGAGATACATGTAGCTGGCATCAATACCCAAACCTTCCTTGCTGAATTCTGGTCTGTAGGTAGACTTGGAAGCGTCTAACAGCGAAATACATGTATAAAAAAACAATTTTGCTAATCGATTTTCACTTACATTCGATTTCTGATCCGATCAATTGATGTTTGGTGTAGAAAGTACTGCCGCTGTTCGAGTCGTGGCACACGGTGATCAAGCCTACCCACTGACCAGATGGTAATTTGTGTCCGATGTCATATAGGGTACCCTTCCCGCTAGCGCATGGTCGAAGCTGTTTGTTCACCTGGCCCTTAACTATGATCGAGCATTTGAAGTTGGATAGAGGCTGATTGATGCCGTTGAGCTTTAAGATGCTCAAATTCTCACATTGGGGCTCGTGGATCTTCTCAGTCGGATCTTAATAGACAAAGAGCCAGACTAGCAAATATTTAATTCGATAAAAGCACTCACCTAGTGATAACCTGTTTTTCTCGCCTGGACACACCAAATTCAAAGTCTGTCCGTGTCTCAAGTGGATATGCCCTTTGCGTGGGATGATTATTGTATAGGGTGGTTCAGCACTCAACGGTACCGGCAAGTACTGTTCCACAGATGGATGAGTGACGTGCAAGGAGCAGTCTGAAAACTCGGAGGGTTACAATGTATCGCTTTCTTCACATCGTCATTACCGCTGCCATTGTTTTCCCTTCGTTCCGATTCAGTTTCAACCTTCGCAGTTTTCTTGATTCCCTTCTGAACCTCTTTAGTAGTAGTAGAACTGCGTGTAGTTGTGCATCGGGGTCGCTCTACGTTTAAATAAAGGTTTCGCGTTTAAACTTTGAAACAGATTAGTGACTTTAGGATGAACGGAAATAGTAGAGGTAGCAGGAACGTTCACGAAAACCTTAGAAGCCCTACTGAAGCTTTTGCAACGAAAAACGAGGTCACAATCTAATAGACAACGGCGATAAAGTACCGGACACCATAAAATCGATACAATTACCAGAAAAAAAAATAATCAGAAAAACTGTCCCAAGACCTTTAGCACAATACACCAGTCTCTTGGAAATGCAATTGATACGATACATTAATGAACATAATGCATAATGTGGGATATTTTGCGTATCAGAACACTGGAAAGGTGAAGGATAATTACAACAATTAGGAATCAAAGGATTTAAACTGTCCTAATGGTTTTGCAGAGACGAGGGATAACATGGAGGACTAGCCACTTTTACGGACCAAAGTGTTTCTGCCAAAAACAGAATAAAACTGTGTGGTTTATCACTATTTGGAGTCTTGAATGAGCGACCAGTGGGGTGTGAAAAATATTATAGTGGTTATGGTATATAGACCGCCATCGGGAGACATAAAAACATTTTTAGGAAAGATGGAGCAGACGTTGTCAAAAACATTCAAAGAAAAAAAAACACGTATTTTTAGTAGGAGATTTTAACATAGAACTCTCTAAAGAAAATAAAGCGGGCTCTGAATTCGTAGGAGTAGCGACGTCTTTTGATCGTGTGACGACCATTAAGGTAAATACTACAATAAATTGCAAGAAACGGCTAGATTTATTATTGAGTAACAACGATGAACAATATATACTTATGAAACTAAAAAAAGGAATATAATGAACGCACAAAGTATTAAATATGACAAACTGGTAATTCACTCAGATCATAAAATGATATGTATGTAGGCTGTCGGTAAAAAGATTACAGGGAAATACCATCCTAAAAATGAAGTAGGTCTCTAGGTGAATGCTGAGAAAGTAGAAAATGAATATGATCAGTTCTTAGTGTCGGTGATTCCAGAAATGTTCAAAAGTATCCATACAACAACCAATCCGCTGCCTGGATTCTCAAAAATCTTGCTGAACTTGCTATGTGTAGAAGATTACAAAAATTTATGAATGAGTGTTATCTACTTAATATAAATCAACATGGATTTTTAAAGGGAAGGGACTCAAAAGGTTATAGACAAATGTTTACAAACACTTTGAAAAAGGGGAAGCATCCGTTGAAATTTTCTTAGACTAATCGAAGGCATATGATTGCCTAGAGAGAGAGAGAGAGATGCTATTAACAAAATTAGAAAGATATGGCGGACAAAGTTCGTCACTGAAATGGATAAAGTCATATTTAAGCCAACGTGCTCAAATCGTTAGTTTACAAAAATTGACAGAATGAAAAATCAAAAGTTTGTTCTTATAAGCATGGCGTAGCTATGAGAATAGTATGAGGCCCCATTATGTTTGCTATATTGATCAATGATATATACACGGTTAAAGAAGGTTCCAGACAAATAATAATAAATTATGAGATGACACGAATATCTCCTAAATGTCTCCGAATAACAAATTAATTCTTAACACAGACAAAACAAATGCTGTATTCTTCAGAACTAAACAGTATAATATAGAAACAATAGGCAACCTCAGCGTACACAATACGACTCAATTAATTCAGTCTGTATGGTAGGCATATGAACGAAAAAAAAAATTAACGGTATTATATTTTCCGAATCAAGAATGAAAAAATAGTACCATTCAAGACTGTTTTATAAGTCTGAAAAGAGTAATCAGAGTAATTAGAAAAATTGAATATAATTAAACGTGCCGAAATGTGTTTAAACAAATGGGACTTTTAACATTATATGTTCTATATATTTTTGAATGCCTTATGTTCCTTCACAGAAATAAACCTATCCCTTGCATCGCTTGCAAATGACTGAAAAGAGTACTGTTAGACGAATTAATAATAGGAATGCGTTTAAAAGGGAAATTAATATTAAAGTAATATCCCGGAAATGCCCGAAGTGGCTCGGATCCGTGGAAAACGAAACTGATAAAGTGATGCTCCCTGCACGCTAAATCGGTGTGTATTTAGGTATTTTAAAGAAGGGAGTAGGAAAATGCTATAACGAACTTACTGTATCTCGGTTCGTTATAAGCTCCCCATGCTTTTGATTGTGATGAGGCTTGCAACAAACTCGCCAAGACTAATGTACCCATAGCAGCTAACGCACCAACAGCTGACGCACCACCGGCTTTAGCTGGGATCAGCCCTGGGGAGAGATTCACAAATCTCTTCTCTCTTCTGCTTGTTTCGTGCTCCAGGTGTTCATAAACTGAATCCACGCTGCGAGCCAACGACAACGATAGCACAAAACATACACCTACGAACAATAAAATGTAAAGTTTAGCAGCCATCTTGACTATACAGTACCCTTAAGTCATGTTTCCCATTATATACTCCTTTCAGATAAAGTCGGCAGTGGCGTAGCCTCCAGATAGACCAAATCAGGTGCAGATTTGGGCAGGAAACAATAAGTTATTAGTACAGGCAACAACTGGTTATCAAACGTCGGCAATACGAACAATACGAGGTGTGTTCAAAAAGTACTCGTGAATTGGTTACTATTGTAGTCGTTATGTTTTAGCCAGTGTGCAGGTTTTTTTGTGAACCAGAAGCGTTAGACGTGCATTTGCATAAAATATTGTTTAAAAAATTCAATGCAATTCTGCAAAACACTTGAAATGTTGACAAAAAAAAATGTTTATAAGTGGTACCAGATGGCTTAGAAGAGAGCTGTTGAACGACGCCAATGATGATCCTGATATGCTACTGACGACCCGGAGCCCAGTAGTTCTAAAAACCGAAAAAACACCTCAAGTTCGTTCAAATGTCAATGTTTTACTTACTCTTTTCTTTGATTATCGTGCGTGTTCGGTCAATAAAGTGTATTACCTCGAAGTTATGCACTGTTTGCGAGAAGCAATACGAAGAAAACGTGCTTGCGTCTATCTTTTTGGCCAAAAACAAAACCACAATCGTGCTACAGCAACCATATTCACCGAATATGGGCTCCAAAACTCAATAAATCCATGAAAAGAGGAAGGTTTGGAACGATTGAGGAAATAAACAAAAAATCGCTCGAGGAACTGAAGACAATACCAGAAAATGATTACCAGAAGTGCTTCGAGGATTCGAAAAAACATTGGCATAAGTGTATTATATCTTTGGGACAACATTAATATTGATAAATAAAGAAATACTTAAAAGTCTATAAAACTTCAAAGTCGCCTTACTTTTTGAATACACCTCGTATGTACGTCTATGAACGATCTTCTGAACCATTGCATCATTGCAAATTATTATGCTGTGAATCAAAATTAAACATTTCATGGGACTTTCCGCGGACAGCACCGTACCCAAATATTATCTCAGATTCGAATTTTCGACACGGTAAACAACGGAAATCAAACCATAGCAACTAGAATGAAAAAAAGAAAGGAGAATACGTTAAAAATGACGATGTATTAAGAGAAACTGGCAGACAGACGAATACCTTAGGAATCGAGAGGTATTAAAGAGAATTGACAGGGATAGAGAATTGCTGAAATTTGTCAAACAAGATGCCCAGAAAAAAAAAGAGTTTGCTAAATCCGACAGAGTGCAACACGAAAAAATAATTCTAATACTAAAAACAACGGGAATTGCTGACAAGGACTTGAGAATCATTGTCAACCGTGAAATGCTCCCGGGCCTATGAGAGTGTGTCGTGGGTTCTACGGCGGTAAATAAGGCACAGAATTTGGAAACTACCAAATTTTTACTGAGACTAACACTAAAACTTAAAAAAAAACTATAATAGCCGAGGGACTTTCTTTATCCCGAGAAACACCGTCCTATTGCACGTCTTCCACCCGTCTACCCCACTCACCAACTGACTTTTTAGCGGGGATCGCAAATGCCGCACTTAACATTTAATCGCGCACCGCATTACCACCCCTATTAAAACCATACATATGTTTTAACAGATGCTACTTTTCTAGTGGATAATGTAGCAAATTTGCTTCAGGCATGGGTTTAAACTTCTTTAAATTTATCATATTATACCGACCCAAATATTGTCCGGCATCGTTGACTAATAAATAAGATTTTGACCCCTCCCTTTCAAACACCTTATACGGATCTTCGTGTAATAGGAAAAACTTTTTAATTTCTGCATTTAAAGCTAACTCTTTGCTCCTCCTTTTGAAAAGTAAACGTTCCTTGGCTAATATCCAAAACTGAGTCAAATCATTGCCAATTTCTTTATTGACCCGCTTTGTCGCGTTTCCCTGCGGAAAATATATCGAGGTAAATATTTGCTTAACTTGATTCCGACTAAGACAAGATTTATACACTTGGGAATGAAATTGTGTCCCGTTATCATTTAATAACATTTTCGGCTTTTGTACTTCAGTAAAATATTTGTTCTCGAGTTTAGTCACAATAGCTTGCGCAGACGCTTTTCTTAACGGATATAATCTAGAATAGCGTGCAAAATTATCAACTATAACCAACAACTGGGTGGTAACAACACGAGATAGCGGCAACACTCCCATAAGATCGAAACAGGTCAAATCCCCGGACCTTTCAGTACTAATCGAGCTGAATTCTCCTACTAGTTTTTTTGAAACTTTAGCTTTCTGACAGAATTCACAAAAGGGTACCACCTGCCGAATATGTTTAAGCATTTTTTCCAATAAAATGAGCACTGCATGTGCGCAACTGTCTTTTTATAACCAAAATGTTAAGATTAAGGATTTGACTCTTTGGTATTATTTTTCTTGAAAAGTAAATTATGGTGCAGTTTATACCGCTGATGAAAACCCTCATTTAGAATGATTACAATTTAAGCCCTTTATAACCTTACATAACGCGGGATCCTTCATTTGATCTGATTGCAAAGTTTTAAAATCGTCCTTAATTAGTTTAAATTCTTGTGTTAAATTTAACATAAATGTGTTAACCCTTGCAATAAACTTTCTGAAAATCAATTTCTTCCATATACATTGGCAACTTGTAATACGAGATGTTTTTAGTGAACAATGCATAAAATAAGATAAAGCTTTGCGGTCGGCCACTATAAACAACGTAACCGTATAATTCAACTGCGGACCTTTCAAAGTGTTGCCGTGATACGCATTGGGATCCGACATCCGACATAAGCAAGCTCCGACAGCTTTCCCCGAACTATCCGCTTGTATATACAATGCTTTTTTAAAATCGGGGTGATTCACCATAGTAATGTTTAAATATTTATCCTTGCTTAACATAAAAACGGCATCTTGTTCATTACTCCAAAACCATTGAGTGCTTTTGAGTAACAATTTTACGGAACTGTTGAATCGGCACCTACGATCGAACCTAAGTTTGCTGATATTTCGCGGCTTTGGAAAAATTTTAATAGCTTCTATTCGATTTACTTACATTCGATTTAAATTATATATCCGACAAATTCAGTTTTAGATTTAGTGAATGCGGATTTTCGCAACTTAATTGTCAAATTAGAATTAATTAGATTCCTCAAAAATAACAGATAATTGTTTTAAATGAGTTTCAACATCTGATGAAAATATTAAAATGTCATCAACATAAACAACAGCAAAAGATAACACTTCGGGTCCGAGTAATTTGGACGGACCCCCTATAAAACTTGCCACCGGAGTTGATAGACCAAAAGGCAAAACATTAAAATAGTATGTTTTATTATTAAATAAAAATCCGCTAAAATACCGATGTTCCTTACGAATTGGTATTTGCCAATAAGAGTTTAAATGTCGAAGAAAATCTACTAATGTTTCTTGACCATGAGGCCAAATAACAAAAGTATCATCGACGTAGCGTTTCTATAATTTTGGTTTTAGATCAAATATGAGCCAGTGTCAGTCAAGCTCTGAAGAAGCCAACAGGATGATTGGCGAAACGTCAGCAAGTTGGCTCAGCAAAAACCGACGCAGGAGGAATCCAGAAGTTTTGTAAAAAGCATTACAGTAGCCTATGGAAGCCTTTGAAAAATTAGACATGCTTAAGTTTGTCACGCAATAGGCTGCCAAATCAGAGAAGAGTTTGCTAGTTTTGGCAGGAGATACAGTCGGCACTGGATTTATTTTATTCATTTGCCTTATCACGCTCTCGAATTTTAAATTTGGATTTTATTTTCTCAGTAATAGAATTTAAAACGAAATGATCGATAACCTCGGCCATAATTTGCCCTCGACGCTTTATCGTAACCAATTAATCAACTGTGGTCGTCGAGCCCTTCGGCTGAACCCGCGTCCCTTTAAAACACCGGGACGTTTCCCGCGGGACCGCGTCGCGAGTTTTTCCGCGCGTTACGAACGACAAAAGGAACGGGAAAAGTCGACCCCGGGAAAGAGGGCGGAAACAAAAAAAAAAACTTCGGACAATGAGACGCGGAGTTTTCCGGTAAAAACGGCGTCTCGTTCATTATTTACGTTTTCATCCGCGTCGGCGTCGCCTCGCATTTTTTTTCACCCGATTTGACGCCGTTATTAAGGAAAATTACAATTTTCGGGGGTCGCCCGGGGGCTAGGGGGGCGGACTTCGCGATTTTGCGTTAAGAAAGGGGATATTATAACAAAAACTTCGTAAAAATAAGGGACGACGATTTTACGAATGCGCCCTTAGATCGTTTTTGCCATAGAGCATTTTAAATAAATTTTAATGTCTCATGGCCCTATTGTTTTGTTAGACCACAAATGCACATTATGGATCCGGAATGGATAGAAAAATTGTAGAATTTAAGAAATAAAGTATACATATTTTAGAACACAGAGTTTTTAAATCAGTAAGTCGTCAAATAATTATATAAAACAGCATATAAGACAAAAGGCTCGATTATTTGAATCCAGCTTTATATAACAAACTGAATAGTGAACGATAATGAGTACCTTGTTACAACAGAAGAATGGAAGAACTAAACCAATTAATAATTGAAAATTTATGGCCTGCGTAAGTGAAATGAATCAATGATCAAGCTGCTGACAACTTACTACTTGATATACTCAAAAAGAAGGGTGTTCTACAGTTATAATGAAGTGTATATCTCGAGAATATATATTAAAGAACAATTATAGGAGATTCATTAGGGGATGAAAGTTCTTTTATACATATTTTTACCCATCTAGAGAATTGCGAATTTATTATTAAATATCTTGGTAGTGGTAGTAGTAGTAATGAATGTAATATATAATTATTATTACATTTAGTATTACATTATTACATTTCATTACAATTACTAACAAAAAAAAATTTTTTTAATTCATCTTAGTGAACAAAAATTGTGTGTTAGTGTGTAGTGTTAAATAAGCTATGGTGGCACTAAGTTCCCCCGTAAACT